TACATTAAGTACATGTTTATGTGCAGTAGAGCAAAGCATCAACAAAATGAAAAGGCAATTTACAAAAAGGAAGAAATTATTTATAACTTACATATCTGATAAGGGATTAATAATAGGAAAGTATACCAAGAATACTCAAACAAGTTAGAAGCAAAAGCAAAAACTCTTATTAAAATGAGCAGAAGATATAGACATTTAACAAAAAGTATACTTATGTCCAACAAGAAAACTTTCTCAGCATCACCCATCAGTAGAGAAATGCAAATGAAAACTACAGTCCAACGTCATATGAGACGTTCTGAAATGCCCACCCTCAGCATGATAAAAGGTTACAAGTGTTGGCAAGGAGTTGGGCTAAGGAGAACCCTCATATTCTACATTTAGGAATATAAATTAGTGCTGCCTCTGAGTAAAACAATTTATATATTCCACAAACATTAAAAATAGAGCTACTCTATGACACAGCAAGTCCACATCTGCATACTTACCTAAAGGTAAAGGTAAAGGCCCTCCCGTTGATCGTCGATTTGCTTGAGCGGGCCCAGTAACGTCTCCATTGGAGACTTTGTTGTTACTGTGTCTGGCATATTGATTACTCTCGGTAGCTTGCCGGGCTCTCCGAGAGGGGCGGAGGAATCGAACTCGGGTTGGCCATGTTGGCCGCTTGTAAGGCGAACGCCCTACCCACTGTGCTATCGCACTTACCTAAAGAAATGAAAACACAACATTCTAAATGATATGTTAATTAACATCAATATGTTGATTGAAGCATTATTCACAATAACCAAGACATGGGCACAACCTAGATGCTCAGCATTGTTTGAAAAATAAATAAAATATTGTGTATATATGCATATATACATATGTATATATAATACAATATTGCTTAAACATGAAATAGAAAGAAATCTTGCCACTGTAACAATGGACAAAACTTGAAAGTATCATGGTAAATTGAATAAGTTAAACAGAGAAAAACACATACTTTACAATTTTATTTATACATGGAATCTTTAAAAAATACATTCTGAATATCCCACGAAAATAGACGGAGATAAGAGGATGGTGGTTGCCAGAAATAGGAGGATGGGGTTAGGGTAGAGAGGATGGAATCGTTAAGGGGAAGTAGAAGGTAAAAACTACAGCATGATGAACATAGTTAACAATACTTTAATGCATATTGTAAGTTGCTATAAGACTAAAACATTTTTATGAGAAAAATTGCAATTGTCTGTGCTTACAGATGTTAACGAGTCTTTTTGTGGAGATACTTTCGAAATATATAGAAAGCCAACTCTTTTTCTAAGAATAGTTTTATTTAAAATACCAGGGTGGGGGATGGGAAATAGTACAGGGGTTAATGTGCTTGCCTTGAAAGTGGCAAACCCGTTTGATCTGTGGTAGTGAATATAGCCCCACAAGCACTGTCAGGAGTGATACCTGGCACATAGCCAGAAGTAAATCCTGAGGACTGCCTTGCCACAAGGAGCTTAAGTTCATTAGGTTACTCCAGTAACAGTGCTTCCATGACTCTGATTATCTGTAGCCTCTTTCTTTGTGTTCTGCTTCCCCAGCTGGTCGGTTTATTGCTTTATTCTTCTCCTTTAGGTCTTTGCATAGTTAATTCAGAGCAATATCTTTTTTTTTGTATGGACACAGGAAGACAGTTAATGCTATGCTTTTGTAACTTGGGAGTTAATTGATTTCACTCCTGGGTGTCTATTCTCTTGACTAAAACCTCAGTTGCTCTTATTTCCTAGATTCCCAAAAGCAGGGCCTCGACAAGGGACTGGATGGACCCAGGGCAAGCTGTGAGCTCCCCTAGCATAGAAATGGGCCTGGCCAAAGCACCATAATTCTTAGCTATAAGTTAAGAGCATGGTCATGGAAAAATTCTGTCATGATCCAAAAAGTAACAACTAGATTAGGAACATGCTAGGGTTATGAAAGATTAATCTGGCCTGAGCACTGTAGTGCGAGATCTATAGTGAGATGCCCCCAGGAAAGCTATCTTAAAAGCTTAATGTATCTCTTACTGTGTCCATAAAAAGTAACTAATATTAAGAAGTAGAATTAAGACATTAATTAAGATATTGGACTAAGGAAAGGAGAAAAGCAATATTTACAAGTTAACAGAGTCTGATTAGGAGATAAAGGTAATTGTCCAGTTGGGGAAGCGGAGCACAAAAAAAGAGGTTGTAGATAAACACAGAGAAATGGGAGCACTGTGATGGCAGTAACCCAATAAACATAAACTCCCTGTGGCAAGGCAGAAAGGACAAACCAATATTATCTTACAATCAAGCATATAATTTTACCTGCTTTGGGCACTATGTCCTCCAGAGTGACCACTTCCCTTCATCATTGCTCCCTTCCCTGAGCTGGCCACTCATCACCTCTTCCCCTGCCCCAGCAAGCTTCCTACTGAAGATCAGTTCTGATACTGTTTCTATTGCCTATGGTCATTTGTTATCCCCCAACTATGCTTCTTTATACCCTACACATGAGAGAGATTGTTCTATGTCTGTCCTCTCCTCCTGACTCATTTCATTCAGCATGACTCTCCAGATCCTTCCATTTAGCAGCAAATATCATGACTTAAACTTTCCAGATAGCCGAAGAGTATTCCATTATGCTGGAGCGATAGCACAGCAGTAGGGCGTTTGCCTTGCACGCAGCCAACATGGCCGACCTGAGTTCAATTCCTCTGCCCCTCTCAGAGAGCCTGGCAAGTTACTTAGAGTATCTTGCCCGCATGGCAGAGTCTGGCAAGCTACCCATGATGTATTCGATATGCCAAACACAGTAACAACAAAGTCTCCAATGGAGACATTACTGGGCCCGCTCGAGCAAATTGATGAACAACGGGAGGACAGTGACTGTGACTGATTCCATTATGCATCTGTACCATAGCTTCTTTATCCAGTTATCTGTCCATGAGCACTTTGGGGCTGTTTCCAGTTTTGGGCTTTTGTGAATAGTGCTGCAATGAACTTCGGAGTGCAGGTATTTTTTCTGCATTGTGTTGTTGGGCCCTTGGGGGGTATATTCCAAGGAGTGGAATTGCTGTGTCTCATAGAAGCTCAATTCCTTGTTTTATGAGGAATGTCCAAATTGTTTTTCCAAAAAATGGACAATATTGGACCATATGACATTCCCACCAGCCAACACTGGTTGTTGTTGTTGTTGTGTGCCATGTGATGTGAGTTATACCTCATTGTTGCTTGATTTGCATTTCCCTAATGGTTAGTGGGCTGGAGCGATAGCACAGCGGGTAGGGCGTTCGCCTTACAAGCGGCCAACATGGCCGACCCGAGTTCGATTCCTCCGCCCCTCTCGGAGAGCCCGGCAAGCTACCGAGAGTATTCGATATGCCAGACACAGTAACAACAAAGTCTCCAATGGAGACGTTACTGGGCCCGCTCGAGCAAATCGACGATCAATGGTTAGTGGTATAGAATATTTTATATGCCTTTTGGCCTTTTGTATTTATTCTTTGCAGAAGCTTTTGTTTATCTCTTCTCCCCATTTTTTGATAGAGTTGGAAGTTTCTCTTGTAAAGTTCTAACAGTGCTTTATATATATTGAATATTAGCTTGAATATCTGATGAGTGGCAGGCGAATAATTTCTCCCAATTTGTGGGGCGTCTCGTATTCTGCGCCTGTTTCCTCTGAAGTGCAGAAGCTTCTTAATTTAATGCAGTCCCATTTGTTTACCTCTGCATCCCCTGCTTCTCTGGCTCAACTTTTAAACCTAATAAATACTCACTGACATGATTGCTTTGAATTGAAGCTGAAAGCTGGAACCATGTTTTGCTCCTCAAAGGTCCAGTGAGTTCAGAGGAAAAGGAAGGATTCATTCTTCTAAAGTTGGCTTCAATTTGCCTGCCGTTTCCCTGAATGCAGTCCCCAGCATGTAGACATAGAGCCTAGCTGGGTCCTCACGTCCACAGATTACACTCTTGGTTTCTGGCTCTCTATGCTCAGACCATGCTGTAGGATGCTTCATCACAAGGACTTAGGACAGAGTCCCAGTAAAGGTGATGCCTAATTTGGGAAAGTCTTCAAAGAGTGGGGACTGGAAAAAAAAGGAAAAAATAGTAGGGAGGAGGGGGACACTGGAGACAAAGAAAGGACAATTCTTGGAGTTCTTTTTATAAATGTTCACATTTTAAGTTATTTTAATATTTTTTATTTTATCAAATACCAGGACTGAAAAATACATTTCTTCTAGTTGAATTTCAGGCGTATAATGCTCCAGCAGCAACCCTGGCACCACCGTCCACTTCTCTCCCACCCACCCGCAGCCTGCCTCCTTGACACGCACCTTTCTGCACGTGGCTGCAGTGCTTCTCGTCTGCCTTCAGTGTCATTGACCCTGTGGTTTGGGTATCTAGCTTTATCTCTCCTCTACAGCCCCCACGTGCCCCGACAGCTGTGAAAATCCCAGCAAAGTGAGGCAAACTACCCAACGCTTGGACTTCGAAGCTTGATTTAGCTTGTAGAATTCTTATTCTGGAGATGGAGGACTCCAGACACAGAAAAATACAAAGGAAAGAGGGAATTTTTGCTCCTTGCCTGCTTTAATACCCTCTTCTTCCTCTTACCCTCCCACCTCCACCACTCACACCGGTCCTCACATCTAGTGGCAACTGTGAGGGTTCAGTAGGAAAAGTAAGATTCGCAGAGCTACAGTGACTTTACCTCACTTCTTTCCAAAAGGCAGAAGTCACACAGGGCGTGGGGCAGACCATTGCCCAGCTACCAAGAGGCTTGCTTGGGTTTTAGTTCTGAGTTGATCGAGTGCATCTGGGGCCGATGGGCAGAGGAAAATTATGCACATTGCCCTGCTGTTTTCTCACTAAAAGCACCTGGCTCCATTCCAGGCCTGGGGCTACCAAAGGAGGGGGAAAGAATAGAAGATATGCGGTGTTGGCCTCCAGGGAGATCCCATGAGCAGCCTTGATACTATGGCTTCATGCAGGACTTCCTTGTGCAAAATGACTGCCTGTGCCCCAATGGACATCCATCCAGATAAAATATCCCAAAGACATGGGTACTCAGTCCCAATGAAATTCTTGGCAACTGAGAGTCACATCCGAGGCATAGACTCAGCAGGCTTGCCTGGGTTTAGTGACAGTTTGGGTTTAGATTTGGACAAGACTGAGGGCAACCCAGACAAACTGCAAAGGCTTCCAAGCAATGCTCGAGTTGTTCCATCTGACCATGGGGTTAGGGAAACTCCATCTGCCAAGAGCTTACCAGTCATTGCATTTCCATGTATAAAGGGGAGGTGCTGTTGCACTAGTTCTGGGTTCTACACTGAATCTAGGTCTGAAGGCTCAAAAGGCCAGAGAGCCATGATCTCTAGTTTACTCAGCTCCTAGGTTTTTCCCTCCCATTTGCCTCCTCTGCCTGTCCTTTTGATCATGACTTCCTAAAGGGTCTGATTTCCAGCCTGCTGCCACCTGTCTGCACCTCTAAAGTGCTCCCTCCAGATGAATTCAGAGCCAGCTAGAGCACAGGGAGCTACACAACTCTACACAGGGGTTCCTTTCCTCTGCCCTGCAAGTGTGGAAACAGTCAAGGTACTTGATCACTTGATCACCTGACATCTCGTTACTCATCGATTTGCTTGAGCGGGCACCAGTAAGGTCTCCATTCGTCACAGCTGCATGCTAGTGTAGCCCAATGGCGTCTGCTCGTTCTAGGAACATGAAGAGCCTCAAATCGATCGTTCAGGGTCTTGACAAAGAAGTCTGACCATCTCGTAGGTGGGCGTCTATGCAGTCTTTGACATCCCATGGAATCCAGTCGGTCACGGCTCTACTCCAGCGGTCATCTCCAAATCTCATTATGTGTCCAGCTTATCTGATTTTCTACGCCTTGGCAAACAAGTCAGCATCCCTGATTCTTGACCGTCGACAGAGGTTGGAACTCTGGATTCTTTCTCTCATTTGAGTGAAGTGTGATACTCTAAGCATAGCTCTTTTGATTCCTCTTCGGGAGACCCATATAATATTCTCAGCCTGTTTTCATAGGGCCCAGGTCTCTGAGTGTATGTTAATGCAGGAAGAACAATGGAATCGAAGAGATGTGCCCCGAACTGGAGGTTCTTTGTCCTCTTACTTATTTCTTTGACACTCTTGAAGGTGTTCCAAGCCGCTCTCTTCCTCCTGTGCAACTCAGGAGCCAGATCATTCATCATGTTGACTTCTGGACCTAGGTATACATAACTGTTGCATTCAGAGATATTTGTTCGGTTGAGAGCAAATGGAATATCAGGAATGAGACTGTTTCTCATAAACATTGTCTTCATGAGATTCAGCTATAGTCGAACCTTTCCACACTCACAGTCAAAATCGGCCAGCATTTGTGCCGCTTGGCTAATGTTTGGTGTTATTAGAGCGATGTCATCCGTAAAGCAGAGGTGGTGTAGTTGCCGACCATCCATCTTCACTCCCATTCCTTCCCATTCCAGTCTTTGCATGATGTCCTTGAGGGTGGCATTGAAGAGTTTCAGTGAAATGGTATCACCCTGCCGAACCCCTCTCTTGACATGGATGAATACTTCCTTGTAGAATGGTGAGATCCTGCTAGTGAATCGTAATACAGCTCACGGAGGATCCTGATGTATTGAGATTAAATGCCCTGTTGGGCTAGGGCTTCGATGACCACTTCAGTGTCAACAGAATCAAAGGCCTTCTTTAAATCGATGAACGTTAGACAGAGCAGCATCTTGAACTCCCGAGAAACCTCAATGAGCTTGGTTATCATCTGGATATGGTCGATTGTGCTGAATCCTTTTCGAAAACCAGCTTGCTCGCGTAGTTGTCCTTCATCTAGTGTTCTGCCAATTTTATTCAGGATTACTCGAGTGAACAGCTTGTAGATGACAGTCAACAGGCAGATTGGGTGATAGCTGCCAATGTGCTGGACGTCTCCCTTATTGTACAGTAGTACAGTCCTGCTGGTTTTCCAATGGGACGGAAACTTGCATTCAGATAAGTAGCATGTGAAGAGCCAAGCCAGTGTATTGATGAGTAATGATGGCAGGTTCTTCAGGTGTTCAGGTCCGAGCTTTTCTGGGTCAAGTGCTGTTCGCTTCTTTACCAACGAAATGGCATGTCGGATTTCGGAAGGGAGAACGTTGGGAACGACATATCCATCCTGCGGAATTTGGTATGTGGGTTGGTGGACGTGGCTATCAAAGAGATCTGAGTAGAAGTCATAGATAATATTCTCCATTGCCCTTCTGGAAGATGTGATAGAGCCATCAGGATGTCGGAGGGCAGTCATCTTGGTCTTGTAGTTGGCAAACGACAAGCAGTCATTGCGAATGCTTTTTCTGTCTTTTTTTCTGTCATCTACCAGCACTGCTGCTCTTTTCTCCTTGAGGTCTTCCTTTATTGCTTCTCTGCACTACTTTGCAAGCTCAGATGTTTGCTTGCGGTTGCCTGAGGCTTGCCACACTGGCAAATAAGCTCAAGAGTTTTTGAAGACAGGCTTTTTTTTGTGGCTATCTCTCTTGGTGGTCCTCACACAATCATGGAGGTGCTGAACCACTCAATCGTATTCGTCAATGTTGTCAAAGATGGCATCTTCCCATGTTGCTGAAATAGTGCCAAAGCGCTCCCGGTTGGTGGTCGTTCTGGGAGTTCTCTTCTTAAACTTTCCAGCCCTTTCTCCCTGCAGCGTGAAGTAGAATGTTGCATGAAGGAGACGGTGGTCCGATCCTTTTTCGAATTTTGGGAAAAAAGCGACATCGGTCAGGCAAAACCGTGGATTGAATATGATGTGGTCAATTTCATTGTGGAACCGTCCACTGGGAGACTCCCATGTCCAACGTTTAGATTTGGCCTTCTGAAACTGTGAGTTACTATGGATGATCTTAGTCGACATGATGAACTCAGTCTTTCACCCTGTTTGTTCCATTCTAGGCCATGGGTCCCAATCCAGAGTTCTTCAGCTAATCTTCTCAGTCCTATCTTGACATTAAAATCGCCTACAATGATCTTATAGAAGGTGTGGTCTTCTTATAGAACTTTTCCAGCTCCATGTAGAATTTCTCAATTTTCCCTTCATCATAATTGGATGTTGGTGCATAGACAACGAAGGTAGAAAATGCCGGCAGTGAGCCACATCTATTCAAGTGTAGTCATCTGATTCGGGTTGTTAGGCATTCTACTGAATCAATGCTCATCGCCAAGTTTGTGTTGACAAGGAAACCGACACCTCTGATGCCTCTTTTGTCGCATGTTCTGAGAAACAGTTCTTCTACAGTGTCGAAAATGGCATGATGTGGTTGATGCCTTCTCATCTCGGTCAGACCAATGATGTCGTACTTGGTCTTTCATACTTGCACTATCAGGTCCTCGATGGATGCATCCGATGCCAGCATACGTGAATTGAAAGTACAGACAGTCATTTTAGTCTTTCTTTGTTTTAGCAGCCTAGTCAGGGCTTGAGATTTTATCAGCATCTCCTTCCTCATCCTTCTTAACGCTGTCATATTGGTGGCTCTTTCAGGGTCAGGGGAATGAGACCCATTGTATTTACAGCATGACTGTTCTACTGTACAAGAAGGGAGACATACACGACATTGGCAACTATCGCCTGATCTGCCTGTTGTCTGTATCTAAAAGCTATTCACTCGAGTAATCCTGAATAGGATTGGCAGAACATTAGATGAAAGACAACTATGTGAGCAAGGCAGGTTCCGAAAAAGATTCAGCACGATCAACCATATCTACATGGTAACCAATCTCATTGAGGTTTCTCGGGAGTTCAAGATGCCGCCCTGTCTAACGTTCATCAATTTAAAGAAGGCCTTTTGTTCTGTTGAGACTGAAGTGGTCATCGAGCCCTAGCCAAACAGGGTGTTCAAACTCAATAGATCAGGATCCTCCGTGAGCTGTATTATGGATTCACTACCAGGATCTCACCATTCTACAAGGAAGTGATCATTATGTCAAGAGAGGGGTTCAGCAGGTTGATACCATTTCACTGAAACTCTTCAGTGCCACCCTTGAAAATGTCATGCGATGATTGGAATGGGAGTGAAGATAGATGGTTGGCAACTACACCACCTCTGCTTCACGGATGACATAGCTCTAATAACACCAAATATTAGCCAAGTGGCACAAATGCTGGCCGACTTCGACATGAGTGTGAAAAACTCAGACTACAGCTGAATCTCACGAAGACAATGTTTATGAGAAATGGATTCATTCCTGATGTTCCATTTGCTCTCAAGGGAACAACCATCTCCAAATGCAACAGTTATGTGTATTTAGGTCGAGAACTCAACATGACAAATGATCTGGCACTTGGGTTATGCAGGAGGAAGAAAGTGACTTGGAATGCATTCAAGAGCATCAAAGAAATAGCTAAGAGGACAAAGAACCTCCGGCTCCAGGCACATCTCTTCGATTCCACTGTTCTTCCTGCATTAATATGCCTCAGAGACCTGGGCCATACAAAAACAGGATGAGAACGCTATTCAGGTCTCCCAAAGAGGAATCAAAAGAGCTATGCTTTAAGTATCATGCTTCACTCAAGTGAGAAAAACAATCCGGAGTTCTGACCTCCATCGAAGATCGAGAATCAGGGACACTGTCTCGTTTGCCAAGGTGTCGAAAATCAGATGGGCTGGACACATAATGCAATTTGGAGACGACCGCTGGACTAGAGCTGTTACCAAATGGATTCCATGGGACATCAAAAGATTGCGTGGCCCCCCACCTACGAGATGGTCCGACATCTTTGTCAAGTCCCTGAGTGATCGTTTTGAGGTTCTTCGTGTTCCTGGAGCAAGCAGACGTCATTGGGCTACATTAGCACATGACAGGGACGAATTGAGACGTTACTGGTGTCCGCTCGAGCATATTGATGAGTAATGAGATGTCAAGTGATCAAGTGATCAAGTGATTTTACAAAGCTGTTCATAATTGGGTTTCAGTCATACAATGATACCATTGTACTGGTTCCAACACCCATCTCTCCACCAGTGTAATTTCCCAGCACCAATGTACCCAGTTTTCCTCCCACTCCTCCAAGCCCCCAACCACCCCTACCTGCCTCTGTTAGGCACCTCTCTTCTCTCTACCTCTCTCTCACTTTCTCTCTTTCTCTATCATTTTAGACATTATAGCTTGCAATACAGATGTTGAAAGGTTATCATTTGCCTACTTTCAACAGATATATACCGGGGGTCCTAAAACATAGTAGAAACACCATCTACACTCCTATGTTCATTGCAGCACTATTCAACATAGCCAGAATCTGGAAACAGCCTGAGTGCCTGAAAAGAGAAGAACGGATTAAGAAACTATGGTAAATCTACACAATGGAATACTACACATCTGTTAGGAAAAATGAGCTCATGAAATTTGCTTATAAATGGATGGACCTGGAGAGTATCATGGTGAATTAAATGAGTCAGAAGGAGAGAGGAAGATATAGAATACTTCATTTATTTGTGGTATATAAAAAAGTATAAAATTAATATCCAATGCCAGGGAAAATGGGCCAAGAGGACAGGTCAATGGTTGGAAATCACCACAATGGTGGGGGTTGGAGGGTAGTTATGGTAGAGGACAATCCATTATGGCATCAGTTGGAAATGATCACTCTGGACAGACGCTGCTTTTTTGGAGAACAAAGATAGATAAGGTGGCTCTGGGGTATGGTCTGGTGGCCAAGAAGTCCTTCCAAGGACATGGCATTAGATCAGAGACATGATTGATGAAAAGTTTGAAAAGAGGAGTTAGAAGAAGAGTGTTTCTCCATGCAAAGGGGAGAAAAACCTTACTTAGTCAAGGCCTCAGCGGATCTCCATCAAATCTGGATTTCTGACCAAAGGAGAAGCTGAGGTCAAGACAGACTCTCCAAAACCGCTGAGTCTCAGCACCCCAACCCACGCCTCACTCCTGCACCCCACTTCTCTCCAAGGACAACATGACATTCAGACCAAGAGCTGCTAAGCCTTCTGGATGTCACCTTATGCTCTGACCTGCTTATCCCCTGGGTCTAGCTTCACAAGGTGACTGAGAAGAGGCACGAAAGACAGCCACATTTTAGAAAACAGTGTCCACTTGCATTTGAACTTCCCTGTCTTTAATGTACACTGAGACCTGACATGCACGAATGATACTAAGTCCACTGCTATGCAGTTAAGAACTTGTAAACTCTGTCACAGTTGCTAGATCCCTTTGTCTTAGTCTGACACTCTATAGTTCATGGAATCTCTAAAGACCTGTTTACAGGAGTGGCCAGCAACCTCTAACGTCCCAAACATTTTGAGTCACCCAAGCATCCTTCTGTATTGTTATCTCTACTATAATTATCCCCTTTCACTTCTCCGTTGCTATTCATTGGGCCAGGAGTCCAGAAACAAATGCTAAAGCACTGACTTTACTCACTGACCAAGTGACCGATTCTGTAAGTGGGCGAGGCGTTATGACACATCTATTGAACAATTGCTATAATTCTACTCTAAGATAACACCTCCTGGCTTCAGTTTCTTACTCTGTAAAATGGAAGCAATATTACCAATCTGATTAGGTTCTGATGATTACATTAATGTCAATTTGCACACTATATTTCTTTATCCATGCTTAATACAAACACTGAAAGTTATCATTTCATTCTAAACATCATTAAGCTTCTCAACCTGAATTTTCTAAATCAGTTACCTTGAGGGATAATTTACATAAAATAAAGCCATTTTAGGTACAGAGCTTGATGAGGTCCAACAAATACCTGCATATCTTCAAGTATCACCAAAACCAAGATAATGGAACTTTATCATCTACCCCCCAAAATTCTGTCATGTCCCTTTGGACAACTTTCACTACAGATTTTGATAACGATTAATCTCCTTTCTCTGACTATGAAGAAGTTTTGATTTTCCAAGAATTTCACACAAATTTAATTATAGAATAGTCTTTTGTGTTTTACTTTATCCCTTAGCAAATTGATTGATTCAGTTGTTGCTGGTATAAATAATTCATTCCTTGATATTGCTGACTGGTATCCCATATTTTAAGTATGCCAAATTGTGTTTGTACCTACACTGTTAGACTGCTGGGCAACGAGTAATCTTCAGTTTTTTTAGATTATTATTATATATACAAATATATTTATCATAAACTATGTCTATAAACACGGGTTGGAGTGATAGCACAGCGGTAGAGCTTTTGCCTTGTGCACAGCCGGCCCGGCCTAGCCGGGTTCGATTCCTTGGCCCCTCTCAGAGAGTCCGGCAAGCTACCGAGAGTATCTCGCCCGCATGGCAAAGCCTGGCAAGCCACCCATGACGTATTCAATATGCCAAAGACAGTAACAACAAGTCTCAAGATGGAGACATTACTGGGCCTGCTCAAGCAAATCAATGAATAACAGGAGGACTGTGACTGTGTCTATAAACATACAAATCTATATTACAAATAACATTTCTATGAATGTAACAAATATGTTTTTTGCAATCTGGTTCCCATGGTACATTTATGAATATACTAATTTGTGTGTATGTGGTGTCAGGGAATTAACCTTGTCACATGAGATATATGTATTGTACAACAGAAACATCTCTCTGGCTTCTGAATATGCAATTTAAAAAAATTTCTTGACCTGTTTATGGGCATTTAGGTTGTTTCTAGCTTTTAGAACTTGAGAATACAACTGCTAGTGGACATATGACTTGATTTCTTTTTGATAAACACTGAGTTAAATTGCTGAGTCATATGAGAAACGTATGCTGGATGT